ATATATATATATATATACATACATCATCGAATAAAAGTATATGCTATAAAAGATCTTTGCGATACAAAGCGCCCGCAGAAGCGACAGCCTTTGCTTTGGTTCTTTTTAGCTTTCTCGCAAGCCTGACAGACTTCCATAGCCACATCCGAGAATCCTTCTTCCAATAGGGTGCAATATCCGCAGGAGAATGCTTAATTCCCTGCAAGATAAATTGTTCTTTTTTTTTAGATAATTCACGATTCTTAATTCTATATGATTATTAAGTTAAACGTATATATAATATTCTATATTTATATTAATATAAATTATTCTATCAATATTATATATGTATATAAAATATTCTAAAGATCTATTTTATAAATTCTTATTTTGTGCATTTCTTTTAATATCTTGAATATTCTATATTTTATTTAATTGATTCTGAATGTCTTTGTTGAATTTTTTATATAAACTCTAAATTAAAAAAATCTCTTTTCCAAAGAAATAAATAGACATTTGTACCTGAAAAATTAGAATTTCCGGTCCCTGAATTACCAATTGGAAGGTAGATTTTTCTCTCGTCTTAAAAACTGGAACAGTCTCTTCCTGTTCAGAGTCATCGAAATAATCCGTCTGACCGTCGCTTATCCTAAATTCTGAATGATTCTTCGTCTCAAGTTCCAAATTCTCCAAAGCGGATGTAAAGTTTCCAATATCTTTGCAAATTCCAAGTCCAACCTAAATGAAAGGAATTTTATAAAAAAAACACAGTTGTCTTTATTAAAATATTTAACTGTGAATTTGCGCATTTTAGTTAATATATAGTTAATAAGTGTTATATTAGTTAATAAGTTACAATTGAAAATAATTAAAATGTACATCTTTACTTTAAGTAACTTTAACAAAATTAGATTAAGAATTAGATTTTCTATATAACTTGTACATTTTCTAACTTAGAATTGATAATATCTTTCTAATTTTCTAATTCTTTGTAATTATATATTTATGTGTAATTGTACATCTTTGTAATTATACATTTTTATATTATATTTTTATCCATTAGAAAATTTATCTACGTAGCAGTTTAAAAACTTTGGATTAAAAAAAAAGTAAAAATAAAATTCTATATATGATTTGAAAAATAAAATTAAGTAACACAAATTGTTATAATTAAAATAAAATGAAATAAGATTAGATCGCTTTTAGAAATGTGATTTATTCGAATATGTTTACGAATTAATTTAAATGTCTAATTTTAATGAAAATAATTTTTCACTAAACCTGAACTCCTTGGGAGCAACGGTTACGGTCCAGGTCGACGGCGGCAACAGCATCCCTCGTCCTGATCACGGGATGATCATTCTCATCCCACTTGAGGTTCTCAACTGTCCAGAAAGAGAAAACGTATGTACGTTGTATGTTACAAGGAAGTTCGCCATGGACGTCTCTCTAACTCGATATACCGCTCGACTGATTCGGCTCCTCGTTTCGCCAATCCATCAAAGGATCCTTGTACCGTCGAAGGATGGCAAGAACGAAGATGGTTCCTTGACATTTGTCGATGAGACCCGCATCCCTCGGTTGTCGCCTCTTGTCAGGGATAAAAATTGCGCGGCGAGCGCACTTTGTTTTCAAGGACTGGATCGAAACGAATTTATATGACTTCAGGAAACTCGATCCCCGATTAAGAGAAACCTCTTCCTATGTCGGAATAATGCAAAGAATAATATAATATATAATATAATAAATTGGAAAATTGTAATTATCATTTTTATTTATTTTTCTTTTATTTTTTTAAACAATGATATGTATTTATATATGTACATAAATATAAAAACAAATCATCTTAATAAGATTGCTTCAATAAATCCACAAGTTGTCATATCTCTTTGTTCTCACTTTTAACTTGTCTTCTATTCCAATTTTTCTTTATATTTCTGTCCAATTATTAACTCCTTATCCGATTCCCCATCGATCCTCCTTAATTCAAGATTTCCTACACTCTTACGAAGAGAGCGTTTAACGCACGTAGAAGCGGAACGATGCGCGCGCGCGCGCGCGCGCGCGCGCATACGAGAGGCCCATTACGTGTTCTAGGACGTGTAATAATCGCCGTGCTCTATCTATATTCGTGGTATATTCGAGGTAACGTTGGAAAGGCAGCAGATCTCGGAACAGGTGTGTATCTATGAGTTTGCGTGTGTACATATATGTACATGTGTGCGTGTGTGCGTGCGCTGTTCACGCAAGATCCACGACGGGCCCCTACTCGTACGTGCGCGCGCGTGTATTCATGAGGCCGCTGCTCGTCCCGGAGTACCGGGCTGCCGTTGCCGGTCACGGCTCGCCGGCCGGAGTTCCGGGGCCCACTTCCGGACACTCGCGCGGCACCGGTACGGTCTCGTTTTCAGCCGGGAATATCAGTTGTTCAACAGTGTACAGTTAGCCGCCGCGCATCACACGCGGAGCGGTGCCCGCGCGTCCTGCTCCTTCGCGCGTGTCCCCCGCGAGCGAGATAGAGGCGGCTGAAACGGGCCCCGGCCTCCGAGCCGCGAGATATCGAGAACAATGGATTTCCCCAGGCGGGTGAGTGATCATTCCGTCAATCGCGAATAGTTCCGATCTCGACGATTGCGGATCTCGACGAGAGAGACGGCGGGGGTGCTAGGCTTTCGAGGGTTTCGTGCGACGGTAGAACAGGAAGTTCTGCAGTCCTCTGAGATTTATTTTCCAATAAATCATAGGAAGAAAGAAAAGAAACGAATGTGATGAACTTGAAAATAATCCTGAAGGGATTTACGTAAACGATTAATGATTATGTTAATTGGTGGAATATTATCTTCTTTGTTCTTAACTAAATTAATGTTAATTTTTGAGAAAATCTTGGCGATTGTTTTCCTCTTCCTTTGTGAAAGTTTTATTTATAATATTTATTTATAATAGACGCGCGTCTCCTCTCGCGTCTTCACGTTTATGAAAGATTCTTAAAAGTTGTCTATTTTTTTCTTCTCTTTCTTTCTTTCTTATAAGTTTTAATTAATGATTTATTAAATTTTCTCTTCTCATTCTTATTTCTGCTCTGTTTAACGCTCCCATCATCGTTTTTTCGCAAAGAAACCCAGATTCATTATACTAAATATTAAATACAAAGAAGACGGAAAGAATGAAAATTGATTAAAAAAAGAGAATTACTTCGGTAATTTATTATAAATTTTGACTACTTGAAGAAATGACGAGAGATCGACGAAATTCGACGAAATCAGTTTTCTCAATTTTCTTTTTTTAATTCAATTTCTTAAATTAAATATATATTGGATATCTTACACTTTTTTTACTAAAAATGTTTCTCTAGAAAAAAAATAAAAATTATCAAAATTCTATTTTGCATTTTCTCACTTGTTCACTTGGATCATCACCAGTGATCGTTGAACAAACGGATCGTGAAGAAACGAGTCCTCCACTTCTGCGAGGGGCACTCGCAGCCGTTCGCGGTCAGGCGACCGCGATTTCTCACCTCTTGCCTTCGATTCTCGGGCAGATGTGGGCGGCACATTTGTGACTTCCTGCCCTGTGGCGCGGTGACGATGATCGTCGCGGATGATGCCTGAGCCTGACGCTACGTGTACGTGCGTACGTGCGGCGCGAAGCGAACGTGAGGCGCGGGCCTCACATGTATGAATGAATCGCGAAACGCGTTCACGCACGCACGCACGCACGCACGCACGCACGCACGCACGCACGCACGCACGCACGCACGCACGCACGCACGCCCCGGAAAACGAAACCAACACAACGACGTGCGACGACGGTCGGCCGCGACATAATGGGCCCCGTCTTGCCAAGATCCGATGTGGTTACGGGTCAATCAACTCAACGGGCGCCGAAAGCGAACGACACAAAGCCCCTCATTTCCGAACAATGACAATTGCAAATCCCAATGAAGTCTTTCAAAAATTTATTCCCTTTTCTTCCCGTTTCCCCAAGAGCAATATAATTCTCCTTCTTTACTCGTTGCAATTGGTAATCGGCATCGAGAAGTGGATGGCTCGAGAACCGTTCCACATTTCGATCGTTAGATAACGTTATTATATAGATATAATTAATTTAATAATCACCTAATAGTAGATAGTTAAAGTAAAACGAATGCAGCGCTCTTAAAATTAATTGAGCGGTATAAATTAAATTGTTTAACTGCGTTACATTGATAGATTCATTAGCTTTAACTAAGTTAAAGTAAACTTATTTCATGTGCTAAATGCTCTTCCAGCCTGTATGCGGTGCGTCAAGCACCGTGCGTCAAGCACCGAGCACGCACTCGAGTGCACCTGCGAGGCGAGGAGAGTTCCTCTCGCGCGAGTTCTGGTATCCTAGTTTTCAGTCCGCTTGCGAAGCGCGTCGCGTCGCGATTGCGAAACGCTCTGGCTCACGCTCCTGCGAAAAATGACAATGTTATCGCGCGCGCCGGAATTAATTATCGTTAATTATACCGCGCGCATTCGTCGGTCGGAATCCCTAGAATAAACGTTTCGAATTTTCCGGCGACTTTTCATGCTAGTGTTCTCGAGAACACACTCGTCCGAGTGCTTTGACTCCTCATTCTTGACACGCGATCGTTAGATACATCGTAATATCGAGCCTCGCTTCAACCGCATCGTCCTGTCCATCCTGTAAATTATTATTTCTGACTTGTGAAATAATAAAGTGTGACTGGCGTTTTGAATTAGCGAGAAGGGGGGGGGTGGGATTTTCGAAAAATCGGATATTGTTATTTAGCGTGAATGAACATGACGACTGTGCTGTATCCTGAAGGTTTCAATACCGTTCTACAGGACGACAGAAGCTGCCGCAGCGATGACTCTGGCGGCGAGGTCTTCAGGAACATCCCGAAGAACAGTAGCATCTTTCGAGTCTGGAAGATCGAGGTAGAAGTTAATAAAACACTGTGACACACTTACTGAATAATCGTGACATCGTAACACGGAGGCATTCTCCAAACCAAATAGATGAAATAATATACGTCACAATATAAAGAAAAAGAATTATATATATATATATATATAAAGATTAATATGTAAAGTTGGAAATATCTTAGATATAGCATTATCATGGATAAAATTGATATGTAATTGCATGTAAATGTTTCTTAATAATTTTGTATCGCTTGTGGTTTCATAAATAATAGATGACTTACTGAAAATTTCGCTTTCTAGGATTTCTAAATTAATTTTTTTTTTAATGAAGTTAAATTGAATTTGATGGCTTATAAAATTATTTCAGTTATATTAAAATTTTCTTACATAAACAAGAAAATTGATTAAAAAATATTATTTATTTTATTATTATTCAATTTTATTACGTTATTACTTTTTGAAGTTATGTTACTTTAAATAATTATACTCTAGAAGTACATAAAAAATTGTAATTTGAAAAAAGAAATTAAAACGTTCATATTTTTAAAAAAAAATAATTAATTTGAAATGAAAAATTAACTCGTTTGAAAATAACTGATTGCGAGTTAAATTGAAAGTTATTAACTTCTTAAGTTTATTACTTATAATACAGTTAATTATTGCTTGTAACTGATTTATAATTAAGTATTGTATTGTTACTTAATTACTTATTGTACTGATTACTGATTAACTAATTAGTTACTATTTTATTTTGTATAACGTTGTCGAACAGGGTCTACGCGCGACAATTGTAACCGGCAGCAACATGGGTCTCTTTCTCTCCGAATCGGCGTACATCGTCTACGCCGTGTCCGCAAAGGATGGTGCACTTCCTTACCCGGGCATGCCGGTACTTTTACTTCCATTGTATTGCGTTGTTGTGAGAAAAACCACATGAAAGCGGAGAGAGGACGGTCTCATTCACGAGATCCACGCCCTCCCAAAGCATGATTTTTCTTCTCCAGACTCTTTAACTTTGCCTCATTGAATTATTTTTTTCACAAGGAAGTGAAATTAATTTCTCGCCTAATTACGTATTACACTTAATTATGTATACGTATAATTTACACAAGATTTATACAATATTTATTAAAGATTGATGTTTGGATTGTTTGGAAAAAAATAAGCCGATGTTTGCAACCAGCTTGATATTAAGATTTTTTTGAATCTTCTTTTCCTTTTCGTTGCTACGCTTAATTTTTATTTTATTACTCGTTATTTTATATAGCTTATATATTATTTTAATAATAAATATACGTCCTTTCCGTAATTTTTTCCGTCCGTTTTCGGTAGATCAAGGATCTCAAGGATCTCAGCTCTGTGGTGCGTGCTATCCATTTCTGGATCGGCGCCAACTGCGACTCGACGGCGTCCGGCGCCGCGGCGCTCCGCGCCGCCGAGCTCGACTCGCAAACGTCGGCGATGATCCTGACGCGCGAGGCTCAGGGGCGCGAGAGCCCCCGGTTTCTCGCTTACTTCCGGCAGCGACTGATCGTGGAGAACCTGCATCACGAGCCGCCCGCTTGCGCCCTGCACCGCGTCTCTGGTGTAGCTGTACCAATTCTGACCGAACTGGAGAGAGTCCATTGGGAGCACTTCAGTTGTCGAGACGTCATCCTGGTGGACGTTCGCGCAAAGTACGCGACAATACAGGGCAAGCGCGTACCTTGCGACGCGAATAATTTTGCGTAATCGCCGGATGATGTCGAAATCCGCCGGTGAAAGTTTCCGCATGCACACAAAAATTGCACACACGCGCTTTCCGAGGACTGAGTAATATAATAAATATAATAAAGCCGATCTCCTCAGCGTCTAGATGAGATTTAATTTACATCTGAAAAATTTTAACGATTTAATTTAACCATTGAATATTCCGAATAGAAGTTTAATCTTCCATATTTTCAAAAATATTTGAAAAAATAATAACTTTTTTACTTCTTTATATTAATAATTTTTATATTTCTTTCAAATCTTAAGATATGATAAATATTTTTTATAATCTCTGACGAGGTTTCTATTATTAATATAAAATGTTTTTTTTTAATTTTATAAATTTGTTTGTAATAGGAAACTATATTTATTTATCAACAGGACGTAAAAAATTACTACGCGCTAAATAATACTTGGCGAAATTAATTTTTATTCACGTTTTTTTAATTTTATCAAGTGAATTAGTTTCTGATATATAAATATTTTTTTCTTTCTCCTTCTTTATTTCATTTTTCTATTAATTTTCTATTAATCAAAATATGTGCAATTTTTTTCTTTATTAATTTTATTAAGTAAAACACGTAAAAAGCCTATCTTAATATAATAATTTTATATAACAAGGTCTATTTGAAAAGGTCTATTTGAAAAAGTCGTTGAAAAATATTTTTTTTCTGTTTTTCTAGAGGTGTTGTTTTCCTGTGGCTGGGATCTCTGTCTGATCCACTGCACAAACGCCACGCTGTCAATCTCTTGGAGTCTCGAAAGGAGAACAACAACGGCCGCGTGGTGGTAATTGAAGATGGCTACGAGCAAACTTTGCCCATAGATGACAGGGAGCTCTTTAGCAGTGTGCTCGATTCCTCGGCGAGGGTGGTAGCGGCCGATCGGCGGCACCGCGTCAACCCCCCTAGCCCCATTAAACTGTATAAATGCAGTGAGCAGTCGGGCAAGTATAAAGTTGCCGAACTCAAATCCGGGCCGATTCTACGTGACGATCTGACTTCCGGTTCTGTGTACCTGGTGGACCGGGGCGAAGCCGGTGTCTGGGCCTGGGTGGGTCGCGATGTCAATGCCCGAGAGAGATTGGAAGCCGTGAGAAATGCGCGGGGTTTCGTTAAGAAAAAGGATTACAGCGACAGCGTGCCGGTGGCTAGAACGGCCGAAGGTAGAATAGAATTTATTTTATTATTTTTGAGAAAACGATTATTTCTTTCAGAGTCGTAGTGTCACTTAGTTGTTTCAAGTTTTTGTAAAGAATGAACCAGCAGCTTTTTAAACGTGACGAAGAAAAAGGGCAATGATCAATGATCAATGATCGTATGTATGGAAATATTAAAATTAAGTAATCGTTAAGATAAAATTAAAATGAGTGAACTTGAAATAAACTGAACCAGTAGGTTGCGAGAACTTTTAGCGAAAATCATCATTATAGTGATTCATATAATCGGGAATAAAGTGAATAATACGAAATGAAGGTTACGAACCGACGGAGATGAAGGCGTTATTGAGGGGCTGGGAGCCTTCCAAGACAAGGCCGTTGACCTTGCCAACGAGTTTCGAGTCCGATTACATGAATGAGAGGCCCAGGATGGCAGCCGAGTGCCAACTGGTGGACGACGGATCTGGCGAACGGACTTTATGGAGGGTCGAACAAAAGGAGGGCATGGTCCAAGTGGAAGATGATAGGGGAATCTATTACGCGGAAGCTTGCTACGTGATGCTGTACAAGTACGGACAAGGACGAAGATGTCGAAGTATTGTATGTGGAATTCCTTTGAATTCATCTATCTTTTTTTTTCTTTTTTTTTGCGAGAAAATTTGTTAAACGTGATTTTCTATTTCGTATTTTGAAGTTGTCCAAGTTGTCTACATTTATAGCTAATTATTTCATTTGTCAATAAATTCATTAAATCTTTTCTTGTCTATTAAAACAATTTAACATTCATTTGTAACTTTCTAAACATTGCTTTCTAAAAAGTAAAATTGTCATGAAGATTGCACAAGTCAAGAACTGGGAAGGAAAATTTTTTTTAAATTTATATAATTGTTTTGCTAGGTATTTATAAATATTGAAGTAGCATCTCGCTGTTTCAATTATTGTGAAAGTTTTTTGTCTTATTATCTCTCTTCTTCAGGTTTATTGCTGGGAAGGTGTCCATTCTATCAAGGTGGATCGAGATGCAGCTTCGACAGTAGCTTGCCGTCTATCTGAAGAAACGAACGCACAGTTGGTGAAGGCAGCTCAAGGCAGAGAACCACCTCACTTATTGCAGATCTACGACGGCAAACTCAAAATACTTGCCGGACGCCATCGCAATTCGCGTAAAGTGTTTTTCTCTCGTTATCATATTTAATTAAATTTAATTAAAAAAAATTTAATTAAAAATAAAAGTTTATATAAAGAAATAACAAGAAAAAAAATAAACAATATATTGGTACAAGCCGAGTACATGTTAACAAATAACAGCAAGAAAAAAATATATAAGATAGGGTGTAAAAATATATAACATATAATATATATATATATATATATATATATATATATATATAGTAGGGTATTTCTTAAACGGCATCCATTAATTATATAGCAGTATTTCTCATTAAAAATTAAATCAAAAAATCCTGAATCCCATTTTTTTTCTACACAAGTAATGAAATAATAATAATTAATCCAATCAACGCCTTTAAACGGACGCATATGTGAGCCGAAACAGCTGACCGAGCTGCTCACGCATATTATCAAATGTACATCTTATTCTCATGTACGTTCGTCTAAAAAACAGTAAATTAATGGATTGATTTGTCTCAATAATTATTATTTCATTGCACAATATAAAAAAAGAGTTTAAGACTTTTCTCAATTTTTAATGAGAAATATATAATTAGTGAATACTATTTAAGAAACATTTTTGTGTAAGATATTCATACATGAAAAATATAAGATAATGATGTATTAATAATAAATTAAAATTTTTTGAGGATTAGTTAAAAAAATATTAAAAATCTTTGAAAATTCTATTTGTTATTGAAAACAATGATTTCACGAATTTGATTAATTCGTAATTTAAATTTTTCACATCTATCTAAAGTTTATGGAAGTATCAAAAAAAGCTTTAATGTATATTGCGTGAGAAAAAGAACGAGAAGGTAAATTTATACATTAATAAAGCATATTGTATGTCAAACAAGTTCAGAATTTGAAATAAATACTTTTTTCTGCCTTTCAATAAATTGATTCTCGATTCACAGCGCCGAAAAAGTATTTGGTCAGAGTGTTTGGCTCAACGCCATATACTTCGAAAGCCGTGGAACGCCCAATGCGAGCGAGTAGTCTGGACTCCAGCGCAGTGTTCATCTTTTTCTCCGGTGCACCGGTTGTCTGGTGTGGCGGCAAAAGCACCGGTGACGCGAGACAGACGTCGCGACGCCTCGCGCCCAGAAACGCGCCTCTCATCGTCGAAGGCAAGGAAGGTGACGACTTTTGGGTTGAGCTCGGAGGTAATTGATAAACGAAAAAATAAATAAAATGTTTCGAAACATTTATAAAATCATATTCGATAATTTCAATTATCATCGCTTTACGTAAATTTATCTTCCTCAGGGAGAGGCATCTATAGCACGGAAACTGAAGAAGTCGGTGAGGAGCTGGATAAACATTTGTTTCAATGTCACACCGAAAACGGTCTTTTCGTGGGCGAGGAGATTCTTGGATTCCGACAGAATTCTTTGATACCAGAAGCTGTTTGGTTGCTAGACGCTGGCAATGTGATTTGGGTGTGGATAGGCAAGTTTTCGAGTCCGAAAACGCTGCAGGACTGCGTCGAGGATGCCACAATATATCTCTACACGCATCCCGCAGGTCGAAATCGTAATACAACTATCTCTGTGATCAAACAAGGTGAGTTTTAGACAACGCAAAGTCGGAGAGACATCTTGAGCTAAGAAATTATAAATAAAAATGTAAAAAATAAAATAAAAAAGTTTCTGCAAGATGTCTTAACAAATTTTACGTTGTTAAACCTATTTTCTTAAGTTAAGTCTTTTCTTCCTTCACAAAAAATCTTTGGATTTTTTATTTCTTATTTTTCCTATTGCCTATGCATTTTTGCATATTCTTGTTCTTAGGTCTAGAACCAGCGACCTTCATTGGACTATTCGATAATTGGAATCATAATTTATTGAGAGATTACAAGCCATTCGAAATCTTCTGCGCTCTGTTGGAAGACAAAGATCAATCGACGAGGACGCAGACGACCTCAAAAGCCACTACGGATTTCGATAATTATATGAAATATCCGCTTGCAGTGCTGAAAAGCGAACCAGAAAATTTACCAGCTGGTGTGGACGTTAGACGCAAGGAAATGCATCTGACTTATGACAATTTTATCGCGATTTTCAAAATGGAACCCGCGGAATTTGAGAAACTACCGATCTGGAAAAAGCAACGCCTCAAACAGGCTGCTGGACTCTTCTAATATTTTTTTTTCCATCATAATTCAAATATTTTTCTTTCTCTTTCCAGAACCAAAATTTAAAAATTATGCTCTCGTGCAATCCCAGTAATATCTTTATTGTAAACCTCAAATTGATTTATAATCGACTTGAAAAAATTTTATTATTATTTAAATTTATGTAAAATGCTAGATTACGATTTTAGGCGGACGTGTCCATCGCATCAGGTTCAATTGTGCGCACCGTCTCCTCTTCTACGATGATTGATTGTACTGTTTTTGTGAGCACCGATGTGGTACCGGGCTTATAACGATAGCTAATCTGTCGTTCGCCTTTCACACTGGCGGTGTCGTACGGTCGCAAGTACTCGACACCACTCTTGCGAATAATACAGAGATCCACGTTAGATCCTGATGCAAGATCGTTAAACACGCCCGCGCGAATAGCATCCGCCACTAACTGTTTCGCATCCTCCTCCTAAAAAACGAAAATGGCCGCTTTATTTTACAAAATAAAAATTTTAATATAAGAAATAATTTTAACATATTATTTAATATATATAAAAAAATATATAATATATAATTAATAATTAATACTAAGTATACTAACAAGTATAGAACAAGTATAGAACTATAAATTTGATGAAGTATAATAATGTAACAAATTTGTCTATATAATGTTATATTTAAAATAAATATTACTTTAAACTTGAAACAATGCTTCATGTGAGAATAATTATCTTATTATCTGTAAATTCTAGATTCAATTTCAATTCTTATTCCAAATATGTATATATTCCTTAGTCTTATGAAAGATTTATTTAAGAGTTTTTTTTTTAAATTGTAAACAAAGAAATATGGAAATAAAAAATACTGAAATTTAATTACTTGAAATGTATTTAAAGTAATTAAATTTCAGTAACATGTTCCAAGAAATTATATAATATAAAACAGTGATGTATAAAAAAGCATGTATAAATCATAGAAATATTTGTGTACTCACTTTAAAAACTACTTTATTAAATTTGCTAAATTTTTATTTGGATACCCAATCTTCTACAAATTTTCAGTTTTGGCATTGGCAATGATTATTCTAAATCTAGAATATTTGACCATATAATTAAAAGTATTCCTCACCGGTAAGTCAGGCTTCCATCTGCTCTCGAAAACTGCCATAGCAGCCAATGAACCAGATCCCATAGTAGTATATTTTAGCTTCTCGGTTGAACCATGTGGATAAATACAATACAATTGCGGTCCATCAAGATCATAACCACCCAGAATGAGTGCGGCGCCAATATGACCCTGATAACGGAACAGCATTTGTTTTATTAACGTATTAGCAGTACATACAGGTACAATGCGGCCAGTATTCAGACGATGTAACTCCAATTGACTAGCTATCATTTCAGTGGTCATTTCGGTATCAGCTGCTGTACCAGCTCCGCAACAACTGAAGATAATTTATGTTCACTTTACAATACACAACTCATAAAGTTAACATGTTATAAAAAGAATGTTACGACACTTACTACATATTGGGAGCGAGATAGTGGATTTTCAAGCTGTACTTATCAGCTACAATAGTATCTTCAGTGGCTCGAGTATCACCACCAAGAATAACACCATCCTTGTATATTACACCAGCAATAGTAGTACCCGTTTTAACTGCTTTTGGAGCAGCAAAACCTTTTTTGATCAAGGCATTATTTCTATGTAAAATAAATATTAACAAAATTAATAAAGTCTAAATTAATTTAAAAAATCTATAAATATTTGATAAAATTTGTGACAAAAGAAAGTATAAATATTTTTAAGATACTCTTTTAGAATTTTTATAGCTATTATTTAATTGATATTTATCATTGATACTATTCACTTAAGATTTATCATGTTAATTAGGAACATAATAAATATAATAAAATAATAAAATAAACAATATTCATTCTAATTAATATAAAGTATTTTATGTGTAAGTAGCTTTAATTAATATAAAGAGGAAGAAAGCAGCAACTTTTTCTAGAGCTGATGTGTGACACAGCAATACGTGTTTAAGGTTAACCTAACCGTTGACAATCACAACACATAAAAATTCTATAATTCTATAATTAAATTTGCAAAACGAGATAAAATCTTTACCTTTGACAGAGATCAAAAGAAAAACCTGATGGTGAAATCTCCGGCGCGAGAAGTGAAGTCATCTCTCTTGATTATCAGGTAAGTCAAAAATAATGATACTGAATGTTACGAATAGTACTCACTTGGCAGACAACTTCGCTTTATCATGTTGACCACGCATGCGTGTTGTTTTTAAAAGAATCTCTATGGTTGCAGGGATTTTGATTCACAGTTTAGAAACATTTTAAGGGTCGGCAGCAGAGACTATGGAGATCTTTATCGGAGATAAATTTCTTTTCCCGTATTACGACTAAAATGCTGCGAGAAAAGCTATATAATTATGAAATTTATAATCAGAATATTTGCCTGACGAAAGCTACAGAACGACTTTTGTAAGAAAATGTGTGAAAATAAATAATTCATTTATGCGTAAATGCGATTTGCACTATAGGACAATAAGGTGCAAATATTTTCATCTATTGTAAATTTTTTTTAAGAGCCAAATTGCAAAATCCCGCTCTGTAGCAGGAGTCATAATTTTATAAAAAATAAGAAAGTAGAAAAAGGCTCATGGCGGAATATTGCTTCTACGAGATGATATATGGGTGTACTCAAATATATATCTGCACTATAAATAAGGAGTAGATAGTTACATTTATTTTAATTATTTAAGAGCTAAATTGCAAAATTGGCTCTGTAGGTACCTTCGTAATTGTAAAAAAAAATTATCTTAGCAAAGTTTCATGACGAAACATCGTTTCTATAAGACAAAGTATAATTGAGTACAGATACACTACACTGAGTGTATCTTAAGTGTCGGTCGACAATAGGTGATTTAAACTTTAAGAAGTAAGAAATTGACCCATCGAATATGAGAAAAATAATCGACTATGATTGGTCAATTTCTTACGGCTTAAAGATTAAATACCTATTGTGGACCGAGACTAAAGCAGTATCTATAAGTGTCCATAAATGTCGGTCCACAATAGGTGATTTACGCTTTAAGACGTAAGAAATTGACCAATTATAATCGAATATGAAAAGAATACTCGACTATGATTGGTCAATTTCTTACGGCTTAAAGATTAAATACTTATTGTGGACCGATACTAATAAGTATTTAATCTTTACGTCGTAAGAAATTGACCAATCATAATCGAATATGAAAAGAATAATCGACTATGATAGGTCAATTTCTTACGGCTTAAAGATTAAATACCTATTGTGGACCGAGACTTAGTGTCGGTAATATAAATAAAATAATATAAAAACTATAAAACATATTTAAATCATATTTTATTATAAAATTATAAATATCATGTATAAGTATTTTTATATTTTCTGTATATTAAATTTTTTATGCAAGAGCACATATTAATATATATAATGTAATTATATATGAAATATGTTTATATACAGCAATTTGCTGGCAGATTGGCAACAAATTCGATCAGATATTGACTTCAAATCCATAGCTATCTGTATCCGCATTAGGCTCGGGATTTGTCGATAAAGCTTGTTGACATGTTATGCCAGCAGATTGGCGACAAAAAACCGAGCAGGATCTGTCCGCATGAGCAGTTTGACGGCAGATTGGCTGGCAAATCCTATAGGATTTGCTCGATTTCTGCCTCCAATCTGTTGGCATAGCATGTCAGCAGGCTTTGATTATAGTTTTGATGACAATTTGCCGACATCATTAGATATTACAAGATATTACATAGATTACATACATACTAGATATTACAAACACTGCGTACAATTTGTTACCTTTCTGCCGTCAAACACTGACCTTGCTCAAAATTTGTTTCTGCAAACTTTGCTATCGGGTATATACCCATATAAACAAAAGATATATATATATATATATATTTTTTTTTCTTTTCATTTTATAAAATTTGTAAATCATTATCATTTATAGCATTTTTTATAAAAATGTTCACAATGTGTCGCAATTCTTTATTTCTCTACTTTTTTAAATAAATATTTCTATGTAATATATAATATAATAAATAGCTAATTAAATATACAAACATACAAACACATAGTATTATTAAACATATTATA